ATCTCTTTCCAAGAGTTCTGTGACATAAAACCAGTTCAGATTTGTTGCATTGCTCGTGATCTCTTAGTGCCTGGTGCTGCCCATCCCCACACCACAGATTGCCCTGTCTGAAACCTCATCTGGGTCCAGATCTGCTTCCTGCTACTGCCCTCCTGGCTGAGATTTTGGACCCTCTGTCCCACTTCTCTTTCCACCGAGTATACAATACTCCTTCCTCAGATGTCTGATTCTCCTCAGGAGGCTGATTCTCTTGTGAGTACAATAAACGTTTCTTGGTCCTCAAAGCCCACAGATTTATTTCCAGCAGGGTATCAACAAGAATTGCCTTGCACTGCTTTATTGCATTGAATTTTATGGTTTTAATATCACATGTCTGCAAGACTCATACACTAGTTTCCTAGTATTTAAGTTTTTAACTTTTCCGTTTCTTGGTCCTCAAAGCCCACAGATTTATTTCCAGCAGGGTATCAACAAGAATTGCCTTGTACTGCTTTATTGCATTGAATTTTATGGTTTTAATATCACATGTCTGCAAGACTCATACACTAGTTTCCTAGTATTTAAGTTTTTAACTTTTCCCCTTGTGATTGGAAGGGGGAAAAGCAACTTAGGCAGCACTAGTGGTGAGCAGTTTTGTATTTTGGGATTTCTCCATAGTAGGAAGGCTCTTTATAGGTCCATAATGAATATGACAGGAATCTGGCCCAACTCACAGGATGCCTGTGATTTTTTAAACCTTCGTTCCCCTGGTTGTGAAGAAGCTTGTATACTTGTTTCCATTTTGATGATGTTTCAGCCTTTATTATTCTATGAATAATTTTTTCTGGGGTCCTAAACATGGGTCCTTACCTAGATAGATTATTCCCTTTGGGCCATTTCTCTATAGATGAGACATGAACCTAAACCCTCCTTGAAGGAGATGTGGCATAAATAAGTAAACAACCTTTTCTTTCTATCCCCACACCATTCCTCCACCCAACCCTATCCTGCCTTCCTCCCCAAGCTCCTCTATCCCCCACCCAATCTCGTAGTAATGCTACTGATATTGCTCAAATACTCAACACTCCAACATGAAAGGGGCACACTATTGGAAACATTTATGTGAACAAATTTTTAAAAATTGCCTCACTTCCACAAAATCTAACCACCTCATCTCCACAAAGTACCCTTCCTCACCACCCATCAATTCTAGTGAAACAAAAGTCCTTCAAGTGTTGGGAGATCATAAAAGAAAGAGCTGAAAAGCTGCCTTACCACTTCTAATCTAAAATTGTGTTTTTGGAAAGTGAACATATTTTTGTAATGGAAGTTTTAACTTTCGTAGACCCTGTTCCCAACGGAACCAGCAAAGTTCCAACATGCTCTTGTGGTTCACTGTACTTTCTCTGTTTTAGCACTAATCACACATTTTTAGTGGTACTTGTATGATTACAGTCTTTCCCAGTAGACTCCAACAAATATTTGTTGATTTCACTGCAAAAATAACAATCACTGTGTGTTAGTCCATTTTGTGAGCTGTAACAGAATACAAAAGACTGGGTAACTTAAAATGAGCAGAAATGTGTTGGCTTACAGTTCTGGAGGCTGGGAAGTCCAATATCAAGGTGCAGCATCTTGTGAGGCCCTTCTTGTTGGGTCATCTCATGGCAGAAGGCAGAAGGTCAAAGAGAGGGCATGAGAGAGCAAACTCACTCCTGCGATAACAGCATTAAGCCATTCATGAGGTCAGAGCTCCCCTGACCCAAACACTTCCCATTAGAACCCACCTCCCAACACCACTGCCTTGGGGATCAAGTTTCCAACATATAAACTTTGGTGGACACATTCAAACCATAGCACGTTGTAAGACCAAAGAAAAATCTGTGTCCTGTAACCAGCAGCTTGTGGTTCATCATGTCCACACTTAGACGCTGTTAGGTATGAATACATTTCCAGTTCATTATGTGATTTTCACCCCTACCAGTCTTGTAGGTGGCATGCACTGGAGCTGTGATGTGGTCTTCACCCAAAGCCCCGATCTTTAAGAACTTAGTATGTTTGCTTTCGGAAAGTTAAACTGTACAATCAGCACAGAATAGCTTAAATCAGAGATAATGAAGGGGCCGGCCCAGTGGCGCACTGCTACAGTGCACCGCTTGGGAGCACAGTGGCACTCCTGCCGAGGGTTTGGATCCCACATACAGACCGGCCGCTCACTGGCTGAGCAAGGTGCGGGCGCAACACTGAGGGTTGCGATCCATTGCCGGTCACGAAAAAAGACAAAAAGGAAAAAAAAAAAAGAGAGAGATAATGAAACACTTTGAAAAGAGACACTCCTTGGCTAGGGCAAAAATTACCTGAAAGTAAAATATGTTTCCCTGAGAAGAGGGGTAGTCAAGCTGGGGTCACCAGTGCAAAAGTGAGCACTGGCCATTTAAGCACTGGATGGAGGATAGGAGGTCTTGTCCAAGAGCTATCGAGTATGGTGGGTCCCACTGGCAAGATCATTCCCACTGTGCCTTTGGCTCTCAGGCTATATCAGTTGGGTGCCATCCAACACACCTCTAACTCCTTTCAAGGTACAGGTAAAAGTTTCTATTACCCACAGGAAGATTGAAGACAATTTATAACTCCTTGCTGGAAGCTAAGAAAAACACATTCGAAGGGTCAAAAACACCAGGTGTTGTACAAAATACACAACAGAATGGGAAATGAGCAAAATCTAAGAGAAAGTTACAGGATGTCATTAAACTAGTTTTATTTTGTTTGAGTTATTTTAGAGTTTTTGTTTTGTGATAAATCTGTGGAGCACACCTGCTCACTTAGTTTCCTGGGGATACTATTTTGGGCAATGCTGAACTTTCTTTTATCCCCAGCTTTATACCAGCCTACTCCCTGACAGCCAGTGTTTGCTAAAGCTATCAGAGAACAACAAAGCTACTCTTCCTTGTGAGTTTTTCACCCCTGGGGTACACAGGTTTCTGATTTCTCCTGCTCCCCTACAGACTCAGATTCCAGAGTAGATTGTCTTCCAGCCTTACTTATCACTGTGATTGTGTGCTTTTGTCTTTTTCAATACTTCATAGGTAATAATAGGTAACATAAGAGGTGAATCTCTAAAAAGGGGAGAATGTTTTTTGGAATGTCATTCTAGGAGAGGCTAACAGGTGCTCCACAGCTCTAAGTCCCCTTTCTGGAGATTCACCATGAGAATTAGCAAACTGAAAGCTTTCAGAAGTCCTGAGTAAAGAAGTCAGGTTCACTTTAAACCCAAGCTTCTATTTGAACACAGAGCACTTTTCCACAGTGGCATCTCTGCCTGGGCCTGACTCTAGGCTGGGGCAGGCCAGCAGGTTTCCTTCCTGGCCTTCCTCTCTTTGGAGTAGCCAGTCATCTGGACTAGCTTTTGGACTGCAGGGGTGCTCTTTTGCCTTTTAGCAGTACTTGGCACTAGGCTGTCTACATGTGATCTTTCCACTGATTTTATTTTTCTCCTTTTAGCAGCAAAGAGGACTAACTCTAATAAGCTCCTACCATGCATCATTCCACCTTTAAATATGCAACCCATATGCTGGACTCTTCTTGATGAGGGTGTGTGCACGTGTGTGTGTGTGTGTGTGTGTGTGTGTTTGGTGAGTAGCTGGGGAGGAAAAGGGGTCTGTGAAATCAACTCTACTGGTAGCCATCTGGACATATACACATGGGCTCTCTTTGCAGCCCCACTGCTCACATTAAAGTTGCCACAGATGTCTGCTGGTGATAGGAGTGAAGGAAGCTCTATTCTCCACCTTCTGGAGCCCTGGGGAAGATTCAATGAGTTCTTTCTTTCAAATTTGACATGATAGAATCCAAGTCTTACAGCATGGGTGATAAAGTCTGGGCATAGCTGCCCTGGTTTAGCCTCTTACGCACCATCCCTTAACTGGAGGCAGGGGCAGGAGGGGACGAAACACAAGCCTCTTCCTTTACATTATGAAGAACATTTCCCAGACCCCCTTTTTCTTATTCATTTGGACACTTTCCCCTCCTTCCCTGTCCCCTCACCAGAGTCTGCCTCCTGAGGTCTTCATTTCATCTCCAATCCAAAATTGAGGCCTTCCTTCCATCCATTTCTCAAGTCTTGAAAACCTTCAAGACTTTGGAAGGTCATAGCTATCTTTGTTCTTGTCATTTCTGCAGACAAGCAGGAGGAAAGAAAAAGTTCTGGGTCCTAAGAAAAAAGTTCTGGGGTGTGTGTGTGTGTGTGTGTGTGTCGACTATCGATGTTATAAGGAGCATCTTGCTTTTTCCATTATGTCTGGATGACTCCAGATCTTCAGAGAACAATAGACATCTCACATTTGTAGGGTTAATTGCCTGCCAATGCTTGAAGTTTGCAAAACTTTTGGGTCTCGTTGCGTAGGAAGAACACTTTTCCTCTTTTCTAACTCTGGCTCAGATTACAAAGCCTTTGTTGAAGTTATCTGTTTCTGTCTAACAAATTACTCCAAAATTTAGTGACTTAACCTCCCCCCATATTTACCTTCCTCATAAATCTGTAACTTGGGCAGGGCTCCGCAGGGACAACTCATCTCTGCTCTCTAAAATTTGAGACCTCAGCTGCTGAAATGTATGGTCTGTCCACTGGGTCTCTCTTGCATGGCCTCAAGGTAGACAAACTTCTTATATGGTGTCTCAAGCTTCCAACAGTGAGTGTTCCAAGAGGTCAAGCCAGAAGCTGCAAGGACATTTTTAACCTGGCCTCAGTGTTATGTAGTATCACTTCTGGTGTATTCTATTGTCACATAAGACCGGCCCTGATTCAGTGTGGGAGGGGGCTACACAAGGGTAAAAATATCTGGAGGTAGGAATTACTGGGGGGCTAACTTGGAGTCTGGCTACCACATCGTCCTTCTATTCAGCTTAAAAAAGCAAACTAATTTTTTAATGCAAATAAAATGTGCATACGATGTGATACCATTTTACCAAAAAACTTCAATAGATATTGCACAAGAAAAAAGAGATCAGGACACATGTTTTCTATGCTCTTTCCAGCCACTGTGCTGTCTTTATTAAATGGAATATTGAATTAGAGGCAAAGAGCGTTTATACTCTGCATTCAGTTTTACAGAAATGCAGTCATATTATCCACGCTGGCTCTCAAAGAATCCATCTTGACTCTGTACACCTGGTTTCACACGTTATAGCAGAGAGGGAGAAAATTCTGGATGCTGGCTTTAAAATGAGAGTAAGGCATCCAAACTACTGTGGAACCAGCAGCTATCCTGTCCCTGCTCCCAACTTCACACTGAGCAGTCACAAAAGAAATAAATGGAGACTAATGATGCTTTGGTTTGGGAAATAATGCTTACATGCACAGAATGCATCCACATAAGTCTTTTGAAAACCAATTGTTGTAATGATTTTATTGCTTTGTAACAAAATAAATCAAACTGACATTGATCCAAAGGTCATAGGGAATTGAAGTTTAACCATATTAATAACTAATAGGATGCAAGTTTGAGTGCGAAGAAGAGACTTGAGGAGGAAGGCATCACAGTATACAGCATTCTTGTAAACATTAGCACAAGTGCAGAGTAAGAGAGATTCCCCTAGATGATCTTAGCTAGGCCCAAGTTCTCCTACTTTCAGAGAATGAAGCAGAAGTATTATTTTTCATTTTACATCTGCTAGGTTATCATATACTGCTCTAAAGGAGAATGGATTCCAATTTGGCTATAATTCTTCTAAGATGCTGCTGTTGGATCCTCTCCATGTCTCTGGTTCCCTGCAAGGTGGGCTCAGTCTCCAAAATGGAGTCCTGAAGGATGGCATGAAGGGAGAACACCACCCCCAGTACAGAGGATGCCAGACGAAAATGGAGTTTGTCACCAAGACTTTTTGCCACATTCTCTTCCTGAGCTCCATCGCCTTCAGGAAGGGCATCATAAATGAGAGGGCTGTTTAATCTTCAATAAATGAGGACTCTTTGCCCCACCATGCTCCTGCTGGCCCTCCTCCTGTATCTATGCCTCGTATCCTGCTCTGTCACCTCCGTTGGTAACTAGAGCAGAAGGAAAGACCGTCTGTCAACAACCTTTGGGCAGATCAGGTCTTTGCAGCTGGTGCCAAGTAAACTTAGCCTTTGCATCTAATGCATACCACAAGGACTTACTCAGAGGACTGAAGAGAAAGAAAGAACAAGTCAGCTACTCTGAATTGCATAATCGCAAAGTGAAGGGGGCCTGGGGGAGCACTGGAATGGTGGGGGCTAGAAAGTAGGCCTTCCTGATGCTCTGCAGAGAGACCGCTTGTGATCTGAAATGTGATGATGTTAACTGGCCGGTACTGGGGACCAGGGTCTGGAATCAGCATAACACTTGGCTACATGAATTTGAACCTCACATTGGGGCCACACGGCAACCTGGAGCACACTCCAGTGTGTTAACTTATACCACATGGACAGGGAAGGAGTTAGGTCCTGGGGAGGGGGGGGTCAGCTGTGGTTTGCAGCCCTGCTGCTGCAGCCAGGTATGGCACTTGGCTCTGCCAGCCAACTCTCTGAGCCTTGTCCCCACTTTGGGCAGCCTGAATATGCTGTGCGATGGGCTCTCTGCTTTGCAGCTGCTACTCCGCAGTCTCAGATCCTCGAGTGCTGTCTCACTGTTTCCTGGGGGCTGGGTCAGTATGGCAGCTCCTCTGGGTTGACACAGTGTGAGATGAGGCAGAAGGCATTGCAGCAGAGCTTGCCTGTTGCAGAAGGAGGAGGGGCCAGCAATCAGATGTTCTCTAGGACATCGAGGGGGACAAGGCCTCTCTTCTTTCCACTGAGGACTCTAATAAAGCCATCTTGTTCTTCTTCAGAACTCACGCAGATCTGAATGCCAAAGAAGAAAAAAACAAAAGGCTTTGGTGTCGACAAGAAAGAAGCTAGAACCTGCAGATTCAATCACTGCTGACTGAGGTCACAGGAGCACCTAATTGGAAAAGGGAGAGCAGTTTCAGGGTGGTAGGTTGTGGCACTGTGAAGAAGAGGTTTGATAAAAAAAAAATTAGGCAGAAATCTGGGTTTGGAACTAGTCCCAGGCACTGAATGTTTGTGAGATTTAGCTTTATGAATGAGGATCAATAAAATAGGGATTAATAATACTGTGTCCCCTGGAAGAGTCACTGTGAGGACAGAATGAGATAATGTTTATCACAGACCCTAGTATGTGGCATGCAGTGAGTACATTACTTTAAAGAAACATTACTTTAATATGTTACTTTAAAGAAACAAAATAAAAGCTATCTTTCAGCAGGCTCCTCTCATGTGTTTGGAATTTTATATGTGCCTCTCATAACATCAGGAAGTCAAAGGGAACTATTTCATTCCTGGCCCCAAGCAAATAGATGGTAGCATATCCCATATTCCAAAGTAAGGCCACCTGTGCTAGACTTCAAGAGGTGGTAAAAATCCATTAGGGTACCCCCAGCACTCATCACTTATAGGCCACTGAAGGGCATACAAGGGTGGATGTGGCCAGGTGAAAATTAGAAGAGGTTTGTGAACAGAACTGTTAGTGTGTTGTGAGTTTCTCCTGCCTGACCTGCTTCCATGGGAGGCGGGTTATGTCTTAGGTTGGATTCCCTGGAAACAGAGCCTGAGACAGGGATCCTGTGCAAGTGACTTTTTGAGTGGGTACTCCTAGGAGGCAGGAAGTGAGAGACACAGGATGGGGAAGGGGAAGAAGTTAAGCAGGGACATGGTCTCAGCTGGAAACCAGCCCGGCCTGATCCCACAGGAACTCTGGAGTATGAATTGCACCACAGAGTTGTCTCACTTTGAGGCAAGGAGTCTAGCCTTTTGGACCCCATGTCAGTCAGTCATTGGCCACTGTCTGACCTGGGGTGTGAGAGGCTTACCCTCTTGGGTGAGGCAGCTCCTGTACTCCCAAGGAGACCTCACTGAGAAGAGCAGCTGTGAGCCATCAGCAGCTGACACAGCAAGTGAGAGATGGGTCACCCACCTAGTGATAGGGATGTTGGCAGGGCTCCCACACAAACCTCCACAGTGGGCTCCTCTGTCACATAGATAAGGGGCTTTCACAGGACGCTTAAAGAGATTGATTTGTGACCCTTGGGGATAGGGGCCTGCGATGGACTAGTATCTGACTCATGTTTCAGAAATCTACTGAAGAAACTTGTCTATGTGAGAAACTCAACTAGAAAGAGGCTCAGACAGTGAAGAGGAGCTAATTTGTAAGATGAGAGTTTTGTTGACTGTTTCACAAGACCACCTGTGGGTCATCTGTGAAAGAGAAATAACCCAGGGTTGTGTTAGATCCTACCAGAGTCTGATGCATAAGGTGGCCCCAAGTTTTGTTGACTGTTTCACAAGACCACCTGTGGGTCATCTGTGAAAGAGAAATAACCCAGGGTCGTGTTAGATCCTACCAGAGTCTGATGCATAAGGTGGCCCCAAAAGGAAGGTGGGCCATCTGATTTTCAAAAGCTGAGACTTGCCATTCCCCATGCCAGAAACACCGCAGAGGAGATGCCCCTGTGATGAGCAGGGAGTATATGTTTTTTAAGAACCCACAGAAATGCCTTGATAGAAGGATTTACCTTTAAAACCTCCCAAAGTGTGTGCTTTCTTTCTTATTCCAATGTGCCAAAATTCAACAATCTAAGGAGCAACAATCTACTACAAGTCCAACCAGTCAGCATCAGTGAAATGCTAAACACCTGCCCCCTTGTATAGGTTTGCTCTAGATGCTTATTTAAAACATGTTCAGAGGTGAGCCCACTGGAAGCGGCTGGCAGCAGCACCAGTCAGTGGAATGATGTGGCTCCACGCAGCCCTCTCACCCTGCTGCCTTGGACCAAGGCAGAGGGGGAGCTCCAGCCCCCACTCCCATGCCCTGAACCGGCACCACGCAGGTGAGCCCCCTGGTGGTGGCTGGCAGCAACACCAGTCAGCGGAACTGTGTGGCTGGACACAGCCACTCACCCTGCCTCAGACCCAGGGGGCAGCACCAGCCTACAGATCTCACCCGAGTTTGGCCCAGCAGAACTCCACAGCTCTAGGGGCTCATTCTACAACCACAGAGTCTAGAATGGTAACCAAGGTGGTTTAACATAACCACTACCACACCTACTGTCAAGCAAAGACAATTTGCCCCTCACAGTAGCAACCAGGGCCACTCCACAGCCAACCTCAGTGTAATAGAAGAAGCAAATTCCCTACCAAATGACCAAGCATCAGTGAAAAAATACTAGAAGTACAAACAATCAAGAAGAAATGACACCACCAAAAGGAAACAGTAATGCTCCACAGTCAGACTCCATGGAACAGGGAATCCTTGAAATGTCTGAAAAAGACTTTCAAGTAATGTCTTAAGAAAACTCAAAGAAGTAAAGGAAGACTCAATTAGAGAACACAATGAAACAAGAAAAACATCCAGAATATGAAGGAGGAAATCTACAAAGAGATTAATACTATAAAAAGAATGTAGCAGAACTTCTAGAAATGAAAGACTCACTCAATGAAATAAAAAACATGACTGAGAGCTTGAGCAACAGGGTAGAGCAAGCAGAAGGAAGAATTTCAGAGCTTGAAGATTGTCTTTTTGAAATAAGTCAGGCAGACAAAAAACAGGAAAATAGAATTAAAAATAATGAGGAAAACCTAAGAGAGATAGCAGATAACCTCAAGTGCTCTAGCATCCAAATTGTGGGTATTCCTGAAGGGCAGGAGAAAGGAAAAGGTATTGAAAACCTAATCAAGGAAATAGTAACAGAAAACTTCCCAGGTGTAGGGTGAGATACAGATACTCAGATCCAGGAAGCTCAAAGGTCCCCAAACAGATTCAACCCAAAAAGATCCTCTCCAAGACATATTATAGTTAAATTCACAAAGCTCAAAGACAAAGAGAGAATTCTACAAGCAGCAGGAGAAGAACACCAGATCGCTTATAGGGGAACCCCCATCAAACTAACAGCAGACTTCTCAACCAAAACCCTACAGGTCAGAAGAAAGTGGAATGATACATTCAAAATACTAAAAGAAAATAACTGCCAGCCAAGAATTCTTTACCCAGCAAGGCTCTCCTTCAGAACTGAGGGAGAAATATTGTATTTCCCAGATAAACAAAAGTTGTGGGAGTTCACCACCACA